GAATGTGATTCCTTGAGTTTGGTTCACATGATTCTTGGAGTTGTGCAAATTCCCTAAGTACTTATCCAGTTTGTTGGTGAATGTTGGCTTTTGACGAAATTTTTTGACACCATTTTGTTTCAACATATTCAAAGATAGGGTGATGGTAGTGTACATTGCCTATCTCAATTTGATCTTAGATATGTTTTTTTGGAGCTCCCTGAAAGTTTAGAATATATCTGTAACCAAATTATCTATGAGGCAATGCATTGAATTCAAACCTACACTTAAAAAACTACACTTAAAAAAAAATACTGCATCCGGATAAGGTTAATTCTTAAGAGAGAGAAACCTGCCAAACAAAGGAAAGGACAAAACGACCAATAGCAGGTAGGGGTGAGCACGGTTCGGTTCGGGTCGGTTTTTACCAAAATTTGAACAACCGAACCGAACCACCTATAATTCAAAACCGAACCGAACCGTTGCAAATCGGTTCGGTTCGGTTCGGTTCGGTTTGTTCGGTTCTAACTTTCATCGAGTATAACAATCAAAGGCACAAATAATCAAATATTGCTTGACATGAAAATTTATATCCAAGCATCCAAGGACCAAGCAAATAAACACAGTAGCAAGTTGTTGACATTGATTTTTTGAAAGCAAACACAAAGCTTTGTAACATGAAAATCACAGTGTTGTAGAGTTAAAGTTTACATACTAACATGAAAATACATTGTCAACAGGAATCACAGAGAAGACATCAGTACATCACCAACAGGAATCACAGTGTTGATTTAAAAAGACCACAACATGTTGAGGTCAAATTGGACTTGCGTTGCAAAGGAGAGGATGCTGAAATGGATGCTTCCCATGTCTGGAACCGTGAAATGCTGTGTCAAATTTGATGTCTCTTGTTGTTAAAAGTTAAACGACCTGTAAACGAGTTAGGATATAGTTAACAGCAAGAGTTGGTTAACAGCAAGAGTTGGAAGTATGATCTATGTTATGGTTGGACAACCTATGTGATTTCAGCAATAAAAAGTTAATAAAAATCAAATCATTTAACATACAAAAACATAAATGGTAAATACCTATGTCTAACTTCTCAAGAGCATCCAAATCTTCTTCAAAGCAAATTTTGCTCGAACCCGGCGTAGCCAACAAGTTTCGAAGCCAATCGGAAGTGCATACTAGGCTTTGTACCATTCTCGGAGTCAATGAGCTCCTAAATGGATCAAGTACTCGGCCACCTGTACTAAAAGCAGATTCAGAAGCAACTGTGGAGATTGGAATAGCTAATACATCACGAACCATCCGAGAGAGAATTGGGAACCTTGCACTATTAACTTTCCAATAAGCTAAAATATCAAAGTTACTTTGATCGGCTTCAACATCCTCGCTTAGAAATTTTTCCAACTCTGATTTTGCTTCGACACTTCCTTTTGCGGCTTTCAACCTTTTAAATTGACTTCTTACATCGGTTATTTGATTAACATCACCACTGTCAATATTATTAGATGAAGCACCAATTGATTGCTCACTTGCATTTTTTTCAGTTGCATATTTAAGCTTGTAGTCATTGAATAATGCAAATGCGGCATCTTTGATGAATTTTAACTTATCAACACTTTCTTTCTCACCATATGTAAGCTCAAGAATAAAAGTCACAAAATCTTCTTTATTTCGTGGATCTAGAAGCGCCGCAATGTAAATCAACATGTTCGTCTTCTCCCAACTTCCCCAATACTTCTCATATTTATCTGTCATTTTATTAGCAATTCTAGCATATAATGCATCTTCAGACAATCTCCATTTTTGCAAATCACAAGCAACATTACCAATTTCTTGAAGAAAAAAATTACTTGTCACATATGAGGAACCTGAAACAAGTAATGTTAGCTTGTAAAATTTTTCAAGCAAAATGCATAACCTTCTCACATTAACCCAATCATCCTCCAATGGCATTCCATGAGCTCCATTTCCATTACTTAGTTCAAATCTAAAGAAGGGATCCTCCTCACCATATCTTTTTAAAGCTTTTTCATATTTTTGAGTAATGTTCAACATCAAATAAGTGGAATTCCATCTAGTGCATACATCCAAACATAAAGATGAACCAAATTCAATTTTTTCTAGTTCAATGCAAGTTTTGAATTTAGCTAATCTAGATGGAGATTGCCTCACATATCTCACCGCCGAACGAACACGAGCAACGGAATCCCCCAAACCTTTGAGCCCATCACTAACAATAAGATTAACAATATGAGCAATGCATCTCATATGAAGATATTTCCCACCCAATATTGTGCCTCCCCAATTGTTGAACCTCTTTTTTAAGTATGCAATCATGGTATCATTTGAACTAGCATTATCAACCGTGATGGTGAAAACATTCTCAATTTCCCAATCTAGTAAACACTTCTCGACCACCTTCCCAAGATCATCTCCTTTATGACTTGAAATAGGACAAAAGTTTATTATTCTTTTGTTCAATTTCCAATCATTATCAATCCAGTGTGCCGTTAAACACATATAATTAATATTTTGAATGGAAGTCCAAGTATCGGTTGTTAGACACACCCTCTGACATGTAGCTTTCAATAAATTCTTCAAATTTTTTTTTTCTTCAAGGTAAATTTCATAGCAATCTCTTTGGATTGTCCAACGAGAAGGAATATGAAATCTAGGGCAAGCGGTTGACATAAAATTTTTAAACCCTAAACCCTCTACTAACTTGAATGGAAGCTCGTCCAAAATGATAAAATAATTAAGGGCTTTTCTTATGGCTCCTTCATCATAACTCCAACTACCAAGGGTTCCCATTTTTGTACTAGATCCACTTTGTGAATCACGATTTGCCTGTAAATTTAATAACTTCTGTCGAGTGTCGACATTATGTGGATGCTTTTTGCAAGACTCCATGTGATTGCGAAGAGCTGTAGTACCATTTTTTTTACAATGTGCAAAATACACTTTTTCACAATACTTGCATTTTGCTTTTGGGTCACCATTTTTATCTTTAAACTTAGTAAAATGATCCCATACCTCCGATCTTCCTTTTATTGCTTTCCTTTTAGTCAAAGTCTGAGAGACTTGTGTAGATTGATTAGAATCAACTTGACTTGCATTTACATTAGGATTCTCCTCTTGAGAAGCCTGCATATTATTTCAACAATTCAACTAAATTAGGGTTTTTAACTTTTTAGCACACTAATATGCATAATCATATCAAAAAATATCAAAACCAATAAAATCAAAACCAAAGTCTTTCTTAACTGGACTAACTTTTGATCATAGAGATACACAGTTCACCTTACATTCTTTTCCAACAAACAGATGCATAATCATATCAAAAAATATAAGATAATGCACATCATAAGAAAAACAAAAGATTTCATTAAAGAGTCAGAACATGTTCTCAGATTTCAAATTACAAAAACAAACCAAAATGCGAACATTAGAAGAAAATGTCATAGGTTCCAATCAGGCAATCACAGCAGAACAAAATCAAAAATGGAGAAGGAAAATACGTGTTTCAATAAAGTCGAATATTTAAATTTTATGAAAACTATTCTATAAAACCTTAGCTGACATAGTTCTCAAAAATATAAAAATTCTAGCTGACATATCATTTGCATACAACATCCTTGTGTCTATAAAGAAAATTATTGATTGAGATGAGATTTTTCAAACAATATAAACACAACGTTGAGAAATGACTGCATTACTTGCACCATATATTAAAATATTATGTGCGAACTAAGAAGAATTATATGATAACATTTGTATTTCTGTCATATATACGATGCCGAACAATGGCAGTAAAATGTACCAATAACCCGATAACGTAAATCTATAAGAAAAAATATCTACAAGTTAATTAAACTCCAAATTATCTCTCTGTAAATGGAATGTATGACATAATTTCACATACTGCGTTGTTTTTCTCCTTTCATTATGTCCCTCGAATAAGCAAACACAGAATTCGACGAAGAGGTCTCCCTGTAAATGGATATACCACACAATTTCACATAGGATAAAATTCCTTGCATATTATTCACATATGACTTGAGTCTTCTGAAGCATTAACAAGCAAAATAAACATTTTTATCACTCGCATAATTTCAGTACATACGAAAATAAAAACGAAAATATTTACAACAAAGCTCGAACACAACATTCCCTCCCAATTTAGCTATCTAGACTTCTTCAGATATTTACAACAAAACGAAAATAAAATAATCAAATTCATAGACGAATTTAATCGAATTGGGATCTTTGTTCTGATTAAAAGAGTTGGATTCATGGTTTCGAGATCCATTACCACTACCAACATCAGGATAAAAAGTTAAAAACGAAAATAAAATTAAAAAAAATCCACATGACAAGAAAAGCTAAAAGACTGCGGAATAAATTCTGGTGCGGGTGTTATACCTCGGCCTCGGCTTCGGCCTCGGCGACGGTGACTGGTGCGGGTGTCCCCCCCAAAGCCGGAGGTACATCTGGAGCCTGATCTTGAGGCGGAGTTAGATCCATGAAGTATTGAAGACCGCGGAAATGGGGAAACTGGTGCGGGTGTCGGCTGTCGTGGGTGGCCGCTGTCGGCTATCGTGGCCGTGGGTGGCCGCTGTCGGCTAAGGAGAGTGAGAGAGAGCGAGAGTCGAGGGATTGAGGGATGAGGCCGAGGGAGTAGCGGCGGCTGGGAGGAATGAGAGGAGAGGAACTGAGGAAATGAAAATAGGGTTGAGAATCTTGAGACTTGAGGGTTTGGGACGGGTCGGGTAAGTGGGTAACGCAAACGGGTGTGAAATTTGGGTGTGAAATTCGGTCGGTTCGGGTCGGGTCGGTTTGAAAAGTTGTCAACCCGACCCGAACCGCCTTATTCTTAAAACCGATTTTTTCGGGTCGGTTCGGGTCGGTTCGGTCGGTTTTTTCGGTTTGGACCGAACCGTGCTCACCCCTAATAGCAGGGGACAATAGTTATTGCTTGTCGCTACCTCAGAGTAAAAGCAGCAGCATCTCTTGGATATTTCTCCTCCGTGCTTCTCTCTTTCTCTCTCTTGCTCTTCCTTCGGTGGTTAGAAAGAGAAGCTGGTGAGAGGGCTTTGCCCTTGAAGATTCCTCGTCCCAAAATCAAAACCCAAAACAGAGATTTGCTCTCAATCTCTGTAGGATTGCCTACAAGGCAAGTAAACTCTTGCTCTTCATTGCTCCAAGCAAAATTCTCTCAGGTTTCTTTTCTATAGTGTAAAGTTTGCCTTTTTGTGATCTTTCATCAGGTTCCAGCTGTTCTCAATCAAAATTCATCCTGTTTCCGGATTCTTTACTGAAAATTCTCACATGGGTCTTCACCAAACTTGACAAAGATCAATCCTATCTGGTCTTGGATTGATAACCATCCAAATTTCTGATGAGGGTTTGCTACAGTCCATTGGTTTGCTCATCAAAGTCCTCTTTTGCCCACAACTCACCTTGCCCTTTGAAATTTGAAGATGTTAAGCTTGTTCCTTGTAGCCCATCTCCAGTTTCTATTGTTTTAGAGAAGAGGTCATTGGATGATAAGGTTGTCAATATTGAGAAGCATAAATTGGATGATGATAAAGTTGAGGTTGTTCGAAAGAGCAGCCTGAAGAAGCCTGCTGATCGCGGTGCGAAAAGGGGAAAGAAAGGGAATGTGAAGTGGATGGATTTCGTTGGGAAAGAACTCTTTGAGATTAGGGAATTCGAATCCTTGTAAGTTTGTTTCTTCTTCCTAATTCTTTAGCCTTATTATTTTTGTTATAATTCTAATTTGTGATACTATGTTTGATCTCAATTTGCATAGTGATGAAGAAGCTTGATAGGATGTTTTCTGAATATAATAGCCTGTTTCTTTGGTTAAATACAACTAGTCGAGGAAAAAGGATGCCAAGGTTTATTTAAGATATGGATAGGGAACATGTTCATGCTTTTGGAATTTTCCTTAAATGGTGAATCAAATATTTTGCTAGCAGAAATTGGATTACCTATTATTCTTCATTCTTTGATTGAGCACAATATGGCCATTTGTCCCAAGTTGCATGATGCTTTTGTGCATGAATGGCTTGTTGCCTTAAGATATGTAGCATGTTAGATTTCAGATTTGATACTTGGCTCTTTGAGCTTTTTCGGTAATCTTAATCACGTAGCTCTTATTTTTTGGTGAATAATTGGGAGGTAAATTTTGAAATAGAAACTAATGAATGGGTATGTTTATGCTGGGTAAATTTCATCAATCATGTGGTTTACCTATGCCTTGTGGACTTTATGCTTGAGCTGGATACCTATGTCTTTCTTTTGGGACATCAACTGGATATCTAACTCAGATGGTAAAATGGCACCCGGTTCATTGTGGTTTACCTCGGTCTTGTGGACTTCATGCTTGAAGATGCTAGATAAATGAATGATAACAGTGCTTATTGCTAAAGAGTAACAAGACCAGATGCTTAAATTATTGATAATATGCAAGCACTTGGTGGGTAACCTATTAGGAGCAATTGTCAACACAAACATCCTTTGACAGCATGACTTTGATGCCCGTATGGTGATACAACAAGTCTTTAAAAGTAGGATATGAAAGCACAAGGATACCATGTCTGTTTGTACGTGCAGACACCGAGATCCTTGTGACATTAAACTCCTGGTGATCTAAGACATCTCATATGTTAACAATTGAAATGGAAGCAAATAAAACCTTAGTGTCTTACATCTTTAAGTTCTGACCTATGTTACTTGGGTACTTCTATCTGAAGCTGTATCCATACCCGACTTGTACCCATACCCAGACCATGGCCCGGACCCATATCCATACCAAAACTCCTTGCATGTATGCTTACATTTATTTGCGCATGTACTCAATTATACAATACATGTTTTAATTTAAAGCACTCGTCATACACTTCTTGACGTATATCCTTCACTTCACATTCACTTTTCGAAACTCGATGGGCATAGGTCAGGTTCCGAACTATGATTTTAAAGATTTTTTTGGGTGTCTAGTTCAGCACCAAGCAGTTTTCCAATTTATAATCCACATAACAAAAGAAACATAAAAATATTTTAGGAATTTTAATTCTTCACGATATTTATCTCATATCAATTATTAATTTCAATGTATAATATATAAATGTGTATATAAATATTTATATAGTCGTGTCCCTATATCCTAACTTTTACTAATTTTTCGTGTCCCGTACCCATACCACTTCCATGCAACTTAGATTCGGATCAGAAGTGACTGGAGGAAAAGGGTAAATTTCGCAAATCCCCTTGATATTTAGGGTGTCTTGCACTAAACCCCTGAGACTTCGTGATTAGAGAAAGCCCCTTGAACTTGTTTTGCTAAAATAAAATGATTTGACGACAGTTAGTTCAACTTATCAAGCTTCGAATATGACCTATTGTTCTGGACAATTTTTCCATTGTACACTTTTAAATTTTGCTGTGAGAGTTTTTTCAGACTAGGGCACGCAAAGTAATGAGAGTAATTTAAACCTTATAAAGTCATTTATGACAACCTCCAATAGTTTTTGCGGGGAAGGGGAGCTTGTGTACAATTTTGAAAGGTCAGGTCTGAATCTGGTATGGTTGAGAGGGTTGAGGCCATGTTCATGTCTATATGCAACCATGCAAAGAACTTAGCGAAGCATTCAACAACTTGAACCTGAAAAGCCTTAACAATATAGCTAGGTATATGTTGTTTTCTTGACAATATAGCTAGGTATGTGTTACTTTCTTCAACCGAAACTCTTCTTTAGACACCGAACATAGTTTTGAGTTATGTACCAGTTCAGAGATATATTTGCATCGCTAATTTATCAATTGCAAATGCAGGGAATCAAGAGAACTGGACGAGAGACTTTATAGCTATCCAATTTGTACTTGCACCATCATGTGAAAACCGATCTCTGTAAATATAAGGGAAGAAAAGAAGCAGGAGTGATCTACGTAATGTTTTTTTTTTTTTTTTTACTTTTTATGGTTGTAGTCTGTGTAGATGTTGAACAAATGTTGCGGCCAAATTGAAGGGAGCAAATGCCGCAGCTTCCGTGAAGGAACTTGAAAAATAAAAATTAATGCCACCTCATCAAAAAGGGGCTGTTTCGTTCAAGCAAAAATATGGCATTTAGTGTGGATTGCAAGTTTTGGGATCAAAACATGAGTTTTTTTTTTTTTTTGGGATTCCATAGTTGGTGCTTGTTTCAAAAACATTTTTGAAATGTTGAATCCCAAAAGTGTAAAATATACCCAGTTTATAGAATTTGCGAAATCATTTCAATTAGAGAAGATTTGGCAAATCCTATAAATGGGTACGCTTACCTCTCTATTTATACCCTTGTATTTTATTTTTGTGTGGGAGGTGACCTCACCAAGGCAAGTAATCCACATCTTCTTTTTAAGAATTTGTTATCCTATAATTTGGGTTTGAACCAAACAAGATATTTCAAATTTTAGGATTTGCGTCTTATAAAAATGTTGAACCAAATAAAATATTAGAAATCCCGAAGTATGTATAAAACACTATGGATTTGAAGTTCTCTATGAGATTACAAATCTTAAAATTTTGAACCAAATAAAATATTAGAAATCCCGAAGTATTTATAAAGCGCTATGGATTTGAAGTTCTTAATGAGATTATAAGTCCTAAAATTTTGGCATTTGAACCAAACGACCCCTAACCATATGGTAATTTAGTTATGAGAAAATCATCTCCAATCTTGTTTTACCTGCTTGATAAAATCACCGCCCGTCTTTCATATTCCCCGTTTGCTTCTGGGCACAAGGTTGCTTTGATTTTGAAATTTCATAGAAGAGAAGCCTAACTATTTTTTCTGCTTGATAAATGGGATGATTATATCTCACTTTTTGCAACTGATAAAAGTTTCAACCATACGGTATAAATACAAGCTGTGTAACTTTTGCCCCAATTGGGTTTCAACCAAACACTGAATTTGCACTGAAAATGCATATCTACAATAATAATAAAAAAGATAATCCAAATGATAGAATTAGAGTTGATTTCTAGCAACAAATGTTGCGTGCACCAATCGTTGCTACAACATTTGCTACAATTCATTTTTGCAATGAACCAAACAACTCTTATGTAGTTGAGTTTCGATACTTGGATGATTTTTAAAGATCCAACTCCCATAATTCAAATTGTAGTTTATAGGACAATGAAGTTCAATGACCATCCTTGTGACATTAAACTCCTAGTGATCTAAGACATCTCATATGTTAACAATTGAAATAGAAGCAAGTAAAACCTTACCATTCCATTCTCACTTGACTTCATTCCCACGTACCAAACGAGGCGTTAGTGTCTTACATCTTTAGATTTTGATCTATGTTATCTGGGTAGTTCTACTGAAACTGAACCCATCCCGGACCAAGGGCCCAGACCCATATCCGTACCAGGACTCCTTGGACACTCCTTGCATGTATGCTTACATTTATTTGGGCATGTACTCAATTATACAATACATGTTTTAATTTAAAACACTTATCATACACTTCTTTGACTTATATCATTCACATTCACTTTTAGAAACTCGATGGGCATAGGTTAGGTTCCGAACTATTATTTTAAAGATTTTTTTTGGGTGTCTAGTTCAGCACCAAGCAATTTTCCAATTTATAATCCACATAACAAAAGAAACATAAAAATATTATAGAAATTTTAATTCTGGTACGTAACACATGAAAGAAAAACAATATTTATCTCATGTAAATTATTAATTTCTATATATAATATATAAAGATGTATATAGATATTTATATAGTCGTGTCCTCATATCCAACCTTTTATAAATTTGTCATAAATCCCTTTGACATTTGGGGTTTCTTGCACTAAACCCCCGTAACTTCGTGATTAGAGAAAACCCCTTGAGCTTGTTTTGCTAAAATAAAATGATTGACGACAGTTAGTTCAATTTATCAAGCTTCGAATATGACCTGCTGTTCTGGACAATTTTTTTCCATTGTAAGCTCTCTATATTTTGCTATGAGAATTTTTTCGGACCGAGGCACGCAGAGTAATGAGAGTAGTTTAGATCTTAACGCGATTTGTGATAATCTCCAATAGTTTTTGCTGGGGAGGGGAGCTTGTGTATAATTTTGAAAGGTCAGGTCTGAATTTGAGATGTTGGTTCACTGTAAATTTGTATGATCTGCCTATGTGACAAACAGTAGTAAAATGTATATATATCTAAATTGATACGAAATAGAGTAGCAAAGGTAACCACCACAACCAAATTTGCATTTCATGTGTTTGGTTTGCTAAATTATAATTAGGAAACATAAGTACATTTACATTAGAAAAAACTTACAGCAAAATAAAAATTAATGCCACCTCATCAAATAACCACACGGTAATTCAGCTATGAGAAAATCATCTCCAATTATGTTTTACCTGCTTGTTAAAATGTATATATATCTAAATTTTTGTGCCTAATACCTTCATACAGTATTGTGCTAAATTTGTAGCGTATGAAAAACAATTATCATGTAAAATTAAATAAAACAGTATACAAATATGAACAAATGAAATTTATGTAGTTTTTAAGAATTCATGATGGCAAGTTGACAAAAGGGGAATGAGATGGTTATATCTCATTTTTTTGCAACTCATAGCAGTTTCAACCAAACAGGATAAATACAAATTATGCAACTTTAGTCTTTTGCAGCATTTGGGATTCAACCGAACATTGAATTTGCACTTACTTGTCACAATGAAAAAATAGATAATTCAAGTAATAGAATTGAAGTTGATTTTCCGCAGCAAATGTTGCGTGCACCACTTGTTGCTACAACATTTGCTACAATTCAATTTTGTAATGAACCAAATAACCATTAGTGCACTAGTGGAAAACCAGGTATTCTTGTCGGGGAATCCCGTCAAGAATGCCTAATTTCCCGTCGGCGATATATATCCTTGACCGTCAGCCATCAAGGATAAGCCGTCAGCAATAGTCCCGTCAGAAAAGAATTATTCTTGACGGGGAGCTGTCAGTAATGTATTTTACTGACGGCAATACGTTGATGGCAGAAGCAGTCAGTGATAATGAACCATCGCCGACGGCAATCCCGTCAGCAATATGTTATTGCATGTAGATCGTGCTCCTAACATAAATCACGTTATTCTATTTAGATGTAAAAAGTATTTTCACATCCAACTAGAATTGTGTGAGTTTATATCAGAAGAGATTCACATCCAACAATATTAGACGGGAAACTAGGGGTAACGACTTCTGATTCATAAAATCATGATATATAACGCAATACAATCTCGATATATCTAACTAATCAAAATTTTCAGTTAAGATAACGGCTAAATATCAGTAAATCCCCATTAACTTTGGGACTATTATCAGATAACCCCCCTTAATTTTCAAAATATCAGAAAACCCCTCTTATTTTGATCCATATTAGGAAAGATAATTAAACTTAGGCGTCAACATTAAAACCCATCAATATCCAATTTTGAACTGAAGAATCAAAAAAGGACAAAAAATTACCGCTTGGATCTCCTGCACTACAATCCAAGAAAACGTAAGACCCGCTTGGATCTCCTGCACTGCAATCCAAGAAATCAAATCTCAAATCAGAAACAACAACAAAACCTAAAATCACAACAACAAAATTTGGGAGGGGTGATGGCGAGGGCGGCGGGCGGTGAAGTCGAGTGGGGTTCGGGAGGGGTGATGGCGAGGGCGGCGGGCGGTGAAGTCGAGTGGGGTTCGGGAGGGGTGATGGCGAGGGCGGCGGGCGGTGAAGTCGACTGGGGTTCGGGAGGGGTGATGGCGAGGGCGGCGGGCGGTGAAGTCGACTGGGGTTCGGGAGGTGATGGCGAGGGCAAGGTCGGTAGCGAGTCAGAGCTGAGAGGGGATGTCGAGGGCAGCGGCGAAATTAGGGTTTTTTTACTGTGGTAGAAACAACGAGAGGGGCTCAGTAAAAAACAATTTATATCAAACATCGCTGACGGGCTTCTCATCAGGAATGTTTATTTCCCGTAGGCGATGATCACATCGCCGACGGTTATAAGGCATTTGTGACGGCAATAACGCTGACGGGAATTCCCGTCAGCGATATAAACATCGCTGACGGTAAATTCCCGTCAGTGTTGTTGCCGTCAGCGAAACATGGTTTTCCACTAGTGGTGTAGTTGAGTTGAGATACTTGGATGATATTTAATGACCCGACTGGGCCGACTCCCATAATTCGAATTGTACTTTATAGGAAGTTGAATGGCTACCCTTGAGATGAGAAAGTATCCACTAGATCACAGGTCCATCGAGATAGGAGAATCCTTGGATTAGTGAAAAATAGAAGAAATTTAAAGATAAATGTACCAATTCAACCAAGATACGAGGATTGCTATAAAATAGAAGGAATTTGAGGATAAATATACTGATTTAAGGATCCTCGTTGTTGGCCACAACTTAAAATGTGTATGGTCCATTACAAAGTTTTCCTAGACTGTTTGGAATCTAATATGATCGAATTTTTATGAATATATTATTTGAAAGATCTTATTGTTTCTTTCCGTAAATGTTCCAAAAAAAAATCCTTGAGATAGCCCCCGTTAGTTTTTGAAATATCACTTAACCTTCTTAAATTTAATCAGATTATCGCACTAATTAACGTGGCTAGATTTGACTGTGTTGCAATTAATTTAATTGATGACTAATACAGTATGATATTATAATTATTAGAAGGTTCATTTGAAAATGGTATTTTGGTCTTTGTATTGGTTCATCTTACACCAAAAGAATGGAAAATATTTTGGAAAATTTTGGAGGGTTTTTTTAAAACAACCCAAACTAAGAGGGGTGTTAAGTGACATATTGTTAAAAGTTTTAAGGGTTATCTCCACATCAACGAAACCCAAAGGGGGATTTTGTGAAATTACCCCTTTTTCTTTCCTTTTGCTCCTTTTTGAATTTGTCAGCACGAAAATTGTCACGAGTTGAGTGCATCCCATGAACGGGCTCAGACCACGGAACGATTCACAATCCAATTACAGGTCCAACAGCGTAAAAAATAATCCGAAATTGAAGTCCTAAAACTAGTAGTAAATATTGTACACCTAATTAAAAAATTCATGATCCTTAATCTAAAAGGACTCTCTATTTTTGTAAAGTCGAATCCGTGAAGGGCTATGATTCCTCTCCAACTTGAAATTGGAATTAATCTCTATATAAGATGCTAGACGTCACCGTTCTTGAATTAAGAGATCATAATTCTGAGAAAAAGAGGAATAATTTTGCTCTAAGTTAGTTAAAAAAAATAATCAATGGGGATGATGAAAATTCCTCTATTTGTGATCTTGATCATAGCGTCCGCAGTGATTTTCATCGAAAAAACCTACATCTTACTACCGTTCCTCTTCCATGGGCTCTCCCGATCAACTATTTCCCTCTTTAATTTCAACACGCCTCCGGTGGATTTGTACGGTAATTACTGCATCATAGCAACTCAGGTTCAAATCCCGTTCCCACGAGTTTTGAGTTTTTAAGTAGTGGAAGTAATAATATTTCACAGCGATTTTATCCGAAAAGTCGCGGTAGTTTCGTAAAATATAAGAAAGCTTTCGAGTTTAATTCATGTGTAGTTTTTCCAATAGTATGTGATATTTTTCTTGTATACTAGAACAGTTTATGGCGGTCTTGCGTAAAAAAATCATTATTCCTGTCCTTTTCAAATATATTTTTTATTAAGTTCTCTTTATTTTTGCAGATCCTGAGGATATTTCGCTAGATCGTGTATATATTCCTCCGGCGGACGAAATACAAACCGTGATAGTTCTAATGTTTTGCTACGCTATCGTCTGTGGGTGTTTTATGTGGTTCTGCTGTTGGTTATACAGCGGTACGCAGCTAGGGAGATTAATGGGGACCAGAGAGTCAAGACACAGGACTACACAAGTTGCATCGGGAGTTGTGTAGTTTTGACTACAGGTTATGAAATATGTTGACTTGTTTTTTCTATGTATTTTGGTCAAATTTGTATTTCTTATGGGGCATCGAATCTGTTCCTTTGACACACGTGGAAGAATATTGGAGAGGTTTTTTTTATGTATTTGTACGTCTTATGAGACATTAAACCTAAGTTGTTTTGATAGATGTGGAAGAATATTGGGTCTGTGCGAGCTGTCCAAGTTATTTTGAATAGAATATACTTAGAGCTTGTTTGGATTGAGGGGAATAAGGGTGAAGGGAAGTTAGGAAAACCATTCACCTTGTTTGGGAACATTTAGGAGGTGAAGTTATTCACCCTAGTTCCCCTTGGTTCACCCCCTAATAGTATAAAATTTGTTACCCCCCAAATTGGGGTGTAACCAAGGGGAAGGGAACTCCCTTCCCTTCCCTTCCTGTCACGCCCGCTTCCCAAAATACAGGAGAATCGGAACGTGAACAAGCCCGCGACGTATTAGATTAAGGAGAATAAATAAAATAATCGTTTCTCCTCAACCTAATACGCTAATCGTCTGGAAATAAATACAATGCAAAGGCACAAGTCCCCGATCACAATCAATAATAATATAATAGACAAACTCAGAATAAAAAGAGACATATCACAAATGGGATATTATTCGAGACACAAAGTTTGGGTCAAACATGCCCTTATTACAAAACAGTCCAACTAAAATAAGAAAATACATAGTCCACCAAAATAAGAAGGAAGTACTGCAAAAATAACTAAGTCCCTCGAAAGACTAAAGGATAAGGTACTACATAAGTAATCTGGTGTCCATCAGTGACTACGTAAAAGAAAAGACTAAGCTTCCGTCTGTTCTTCTGTTCCACCTAGAAGACACTCCGACTGGGCCTGGGCATACTCCTGCTTTAATGCATCATCATACTAGACCTGTCCATCCTCTAAATATGACGTACACCAGAGAAAACAGGTGTACGTCAGTGTGTATGGCACACGGCAAGATCCCACAAAAAAAGTAGAAATGGTCGAACGACCAATACAAGAACAATAATAATAATAATAGTAATAATCTAAATGAAATACATCACTAAAATATAATAATCAGACTAAAATATAATAATCATAAGAATCTAAAATCGATCGGTAACAAGGTCATGCAACTAGCGATCAAACTAATCATCCAAGTAACGAGGTCATACTACTAGTCATTGTATAACAGGTCACTGGTACATATCTCACACAGAGTCAACGTTCATATCATTGGATAACTGACTGTTCACAAATCCCCTACGTGTATCCAATCCCGCTACACATGCGGCCTAGAGGACTACACGCAATCTGTTTTCTGCTTGGTTCGAACTTCAAACAGAACCCGGGTGACGAAATAAATTTCTCACTGACCAAAGTGATGTACACACTTCACTTTAGCCCTACAAACCAACCCCAGTGGCGACACCAACCACTGGAGTGAGACTGGAAGATACATCAACAGCCTTATCCGATCACATGAACCATGACTTTCCCACCCCAACTCTCTTGTTTTTCTAAATTAACATACACACAAGTTTCTACGTCTTAAACAGCACACACCAGGCCACACTAGTTATGAATTTCTAACGGTTCTCAAACATAACAAAGAGTAATAAATGCAACTAATCATATACAACAATATCATAGCATATCACATAATTAAAATTAAGAAACATAAATCATGAATAATTCATAATAATCCCTTTTCTAAAATAAATCCTTTAATTTTTTTTATAAATGGTCTAAAATAATTCCTTTTATAAAACTCTCTTAAATTATTAAAATTATTCTAAATTGATACTTATTCTAAAATAAATTCTTTTAAATTATTTATAATTATTCTAAAATAATTCTTTTGTCAAATAAATTCTATTAATTTATTATAATTACTCTAAAATGATTTTTCACCAAATAATTTATTATACTTATTTTAAAATGATTATTTTGTCAAATAAATTCTTTAAAATTATAAATTAATCTAAAATATTTTTATTTTATTTTATCTTTACAGTATCTATTATCACAATATTATTTTTGTACTTTTTAATATCATTCGTCAAATAAATCCGTGTAGGTCATCACAGTATATGTATTACAACGTGAATGGTCATACGTTATTGTTCACAGTCCATTTCGTTCATGACAGTTCTATACGTTATAGTTCTCAGTTCAATATGTTCACGACAGTTCTATATTTGTAACGAATAATTATTCGAGAAACGAGTTCTTATGCATAATTAATCTGTGATCAATCTAAAATTGTACTGAGCAAGAATAGAGATCTTGCCTCGGTTTCGTTGAATGAATCGACGTCGACGGTGCGAGACAACGGATCCGCGCTAGGCGACGAGCGCGAGGAGTGTGCTCGGCACGGATGGACTCGGATCTGGGGAGTTGGGCGAGCTCGGAGGCGACCGCGGTGGAGGTTGGCGGTTGTTGGCGAACAGGAGGAGGGCGGAGGTGGTCCGGCACGGTTCAAGGGTCGTCGGCGAGGGGAAAAGATGCTGGACGAGCTTGGGTGGGGCTGTGGTCAGGGAGGAGCAGCAAGAGGAGACTGGCAGCGGGTCAGGGGCGTCGAGCAAAGGCTGAGGAGAGGAGTTGGGGAGCTCGACTGGCGCTGGTGAGGCGACGGCAGAGGTGAGAGGCGGCGTGATGGACGAGGGACTGTTTGGGACAGCGGGCGAGAGGGGTGGAGGTGCAGCGCGGCTGGCTGTGTCGCGACGAGCAGGGAGGGGCGGAGGTGGTGCTGCTGGTCGTTAGGTTCGGTGGTTGGGCGGTCGCAGGAGCTTGGGAATGGGGACGGCGGCGGTGCGGCTTGGAGGTCGGGGTGGCCGTGGGTGAGGGAGCGGAGCTCTGCGCGAGCGCTGACTGAACCGGTGGAGGCGGGTTTGACGGCGAGGGAGGCGGCAAGCTCGGGAGGGCGGTGGCGAGGTCGGAGGACGGAGGAAGGAGGCGTGGGATCTGGGTTGGTGGAGTTGAGGCAGAGAGAGAGAGAGAGAGAGAGAGAGAGAGAGAGACTGTGAGCACGAGAAAGGGGTTGGGTGAGGGTTTAAATAAAAAATTTTCATAATAAAAAATTTAAGATATGATTGATTAGAAAATCATGAGCTGCTTAGTCTAAGTTTACGGTGCGCATGATTCATGAACAGCACAGATTGATTAGAAAATCATGAGCTGCTTAGTCTAAGTTTACGGTGCGCGTGATTCATGAACAGCGCAGATGATAGAGGTAACTGACGTGGATGGGGTTTATCTCCTATTGTATTATTTATTTATTTATTTATTTTAACAAAAATAATTAAAAGTTACAAAATGAATAACAAGAGTTAATTAATGATAATTTAATTTATAATTAGCTAAATAAATATAAATTTGGATTTTTAAATCATAAAGCTTTAACAATTATTAAAAGTTTTTTTTTCTTTTTTTCTTTTTTTTTCATTGATAAAATATTTAATTTATAATTAACAAAACTATTAAAATAATTATAAAATCAGATTTTTAAATCATAGAAAATTCTGGAAAATTGGGTAATTTATTACTACTCTTTTAAAAATAAAATTTAATATTTAAAATACCAAAAAAAATTATTTGAGTCAAGATCGAAAAATTTCGGTTATTACACTTCCCTTCTCTCACCTAGTTTCCCTTAACTTCCCTTTATCCCATTGAAATCCAAACACACCCTTAAGTGGACAAGAGATTATTGTTTTCATATCCACTTAAATTTTTACAAGAGCTTTACTCCTCCCTTCAATTATATTAATACAGAATATTTTATGTAAGGAGATTAGGGGCTGTTTGGTTGTAAGTTTTTACTATGTAAAAGGATGGAAAGTGTAAAAAAGTGGATCCCAATGTCAGCTTTCCTCCTTTTCAATTATTTGTTTGTAGTTGTAAAAATAGTGTAAAGTGATTTACTATACTGATGTGACATGTATTCACAAAGCTGACATATGTGTCAGAAGTGAGAGGGCTAGGCCAGTGAAATCATTTGACTAGGGACCACTGTCACGCCCCGCTTCCCAAAATACCAGGGAATCGGAACGCGAACAAGCCCGCGACGTATTGTTATCAATGTCACTTGTGTCATCCTCATCCTCATCATCATCACCATCATTCTCATTATTATTCCTTTTTCTTTTTTTGTCTCCACCTTTTCCAAAATCATTTGGAAAATCATTTAGAACAACAGAAATATTGTGACCTGTTAAGGCTCTGGGCTTGCTGCCATGCTCTACACTATTATCAAACCACGATTTCTTTCTTCGGTATGGATGTGAGGGTTTCAGAAATTTCCTGTGACCCATGTATGAAAACTTCCTGCTGAAGCGTAACCATCTATGATGTGTATTTTTCCCACATATAGGGCATGCTTTTCTTCCTTTTGTAGAACAGCCAGCAAGATTTCCATATGCTGGAAAGTCATTTATAGTCCACATCAACATTGTCTTCAAATTGAAAGTTGATTTGCTAAATGCATCATAAGCCTCAACCCCATTCTCCCACAACAATTGCAAATCATCTACAAGTGGTTGCAAATAGATATCTATGTCGTTTCCCGGTTGCTTTGGACCAGGAATCAGCAATGTTAGCATAATATTATCTTTCTTCATGCACAACATAGGAGGCAAATTATAATTCACAAGCATTACCGGCCAACAACTATATTTAGAGCTTAAGATGGAGAACGGGTTGAAACCATCAGTAGCAAGTCCAAGTCTGAGATTACATGGATCAGCTGCAAATGAGGGCCATTTATCATTAACCAGGTCCCAAGCTAAAGAATCAACAGGGTGACGCATTTTCCCGTCTGTGCTTTTGTTATCAAAATGCCATCTCAAATCTTTAGCCATTTGTGAAGACCTGAACATCCTTTTAAATCTAGGAATAATAGGAAAATATCTCAAAACCTTAACTGGAACGCCTTTTCTGATTTCTTTACTACGCTTATTTATCTTCCATCTTGAAGCACCACATGTTGGACAGTTGTCCAGTTCCTCATACTTCTTTCTAAAGAGACAGCAATCATTCACACAAGCGTGAATCTTTTCATACCCCATGTCAAATATCTTGAGGAAGCTTTTAATCGAGGCGGCTGAATCTAGCAAAACATTGTCCTTTGGCAACATACGTTTAATGATACCTAACAACTCATTGAAATGTTTACTTGATAATCCACTCTTGCCTGCCTTTGAGTCCATACAAATCTACAATGGCTGACAACTTTGTGTAACTTTCGCAGCCTGGATACAAAGGAGTTTGTACTTCTTCTAGTCTCCTTATGAACTCGTCACCATGTCCATGTTCAGAAGGTTCATTAATAGGTATAGGCTGAACAAGTTCTTCATCTATAAAGTAGGCAGCTTGGAATAAGTTATATGTCTCGTCCTTAGTGGCTTCATAATCAAGCTTCTCACCACTTTCTTGTTTCTCTCCATGCTTATTCCAATGTGATTTCATTCGGTACGAAAGATCCATCCCCTTTGTAACCAAGTGTTCAAAAATTGTACTTCCATCTTGATGGCTCATATTACGACATTCCGTACAAGGGCAGAACATCCTTGTAGGAAATCCCAAATTCTTTTCAGCTGTCTTTACAAATTGTAATGCTTTTTGTTGGTACTTAAGGGTGGATCTATGATTTTCAAAGAAAAAGAGCAAGAACAAAATACATTCCAGATCTAGTTAAATTACTACAACTTTACAAGTATTGGTGAACCAACAGATTAAGATATGATTCTTACCCGTGGAGCCACACCCACTCTTTTTCCTTCATCTTTTCAATGAAGATTTATGCAAGCAATGTCTAACATATGAAAACAAAAATAAACTAATGTCAACATATGAAAACAAAAATAAACAAAAATAAACTGGATGATATAAGGTATGAAGTCCCTTTTGCATGACAACTAACTGGTGGTTTCCATATATTCTTGCTGACCTACTAGTAGTGTTCTCTCATGTTGAATGTTCAAGACGTGGAAGTCTGTTGTTGTTCCAATTAAATTGGAAAGTATGCATGGGGAATGGTTTGAGGATTTGGTAATTGATTTAGTTTTCTCTTGCACTGGTGTTAGTTTTCTCTTGCACTGGATGATATAGTGTATAAAGTCCCTTTTGTATACCATTACAAAGTTAAATTTTATAACTTTATAAGCTTGGATGGCTTGTTGATTGTCTCATAGTAACAGAAAAACAAAATTAAACTAAACCCAGCCTAAAATCCCAAACCCATTCTCATTATCATACCAAGTATACCATTCGAATGAAACATATAATAAACTCAAATCCTAAACCCAGACTAAAATTGAACACCATAAACAAACTAATACGCAATTATCATTCAAATACCTAACAGTAAACAAATTAAACTCTTACCCAGTTATCAAATTAAACAAATTGAACAAATTGAACACCATAAACAAAATTAAACTCTTACCCAGTTATCAAATTAAACTCAACAAGAATTTCAAAAGGAATTTCAAAGGAATACTATTCTTCAGATTGCTCCCTGAGCTCCAAGTGCTCTGCATCACAAATAAACCACAAATTCATCACAACTAATCTCACAAAATAACTACCCAAAAAAATCAAAAATCAATGTTCCCCTTCCTTTTTCCTTGGATTTCGTCGTATTTTGCTTGAAGAACCTAGGGCTTCATCACTTTTTCTTCGAGGTATGTTCTTCTAACTCTCATTTCTTTTCACCAAGCTTATTTTTCCTTTGATTCTTGGTAAAAGCCAAGCCCCCTAGACCACCTCTTGGATATTTTCATGTTTTTATCTTAAAAACCTAACTTTCTTTTGTAGGATTTTCGATAAAAATCATTTTTTATCATTTCTCCCAAGAGATCTCATGCTTCCCGAGGTAGATCGGCCTCTCAAGCGGCCAAGAGAGAGGAGCCCGCTGTCACTTCATATGGGGGGTAATTTTTCCAAACTTTTGTCAATTCAAAAGTTAGAATTTTTCCAACTTTTCATGTAGATCCTCGTTTGTTCTCCTGATAAACACGTAAAATATGCATTATCTTAGTGTGTTTCAAGCATGATTTATGGATTTTTAATGCATATTTCGTGTTTAGATCGAGGATACTGCTGTTGTTTGTGTTCTTATATGTAGGTATTGGCTCAAGATTGAAAGATTTGATAATTGTTGGAAGTTATACAAGAGTTTGAAGCAACAATAAGATTTCGAAGGCATGGTTCGTGAAGAAAACGGATGCACGAGTATGAAGAATTGGAAATTCAACCATGATAAAGTTCGAATCAAGAAAACTCAAAAGATAAAAGTTGTAGATCTCTTCAACATGTTTCCAATTCAATTTGAATCACCTCATTCCGAGGTCGGACGCAAAAGTTATAGCCAAAATACCAAAAACTGAAGAAACAAGCACAAAATCAGCAAAACAGCCCCCACCACACCCTGGTGTGGTGCAGACCACACCTGTGGCGTGGGAATTAGTTATTTTCTAGATTTTTGTGGACATATAAATAGATGTTTTGACTTAGGGTTTTAGATATCTTTTGTTATGTTCTCTTAGCCATCAATTAGCAATTATTTTGGAGTTCAAGTATTGAAGAAAGATACTAATTTCTTGTACAAGATTGAATTGCAAGTTTTAATTTTGAAGATCTCAATTGAAAGACGGGTTAATTCTTTCCTCTCTTTGATTTATTTCTTCTTATGATTGATTTGCATAATTATTTGATATATTCTCTTATCCCAATCATGTATGAGTAGATTTCTTGTCTAGGATTGGGAAAGAACCTAACTTTTTGGTGATTGATGATGAATTGATATAGGTTCTTGGTGAAAGTTTAAATCTTTAAACTTGATTTCTAGTGTTTTTAATTTTGTTGATTCGCTTGATCACCGTATTAGCAATCATAGGTAATTAATTGAAGGACTGAAAGGTGAAGATTAATACCGGATCTCTAGAAATTAAGCAAGGAGCTCGAACCACGAAAGTAGGCTAGATTCCTTGGGGATTTGATTTGGGTTAGCATAAAGCTTAATGGGTTTAGCTTAATCTTAATTCCACGAAAGTAGGTTAATTAAGATTAATTAGGCACGATCTTTAGACCTTGAAAAAGGCTTTAGATTAATTTAGGCTAATTCACCCTTTTTAGTTTAAACCAACACCGAGAACTAAAATAATTCATCATTGAGCATCAAAGTTGTGGTGATAACCCAATCCTGGCTCTTCATTATATTGAATTCCACCTGATTAGTTATTATTTTATTTCTTTTAATTTTTATCTCTTCTAATTTACTCATTAGTTTAGCTAGTCTAATAACGTGAAATTTGGTAATTAACCCTAGTCCCTGTGGGATCGACCTTGATAGCTACAACGAGTCTGTGCGCTTACATATTTTGCCTATCAAGTTTTTGGCACCGTTGCCGGGGACTACGGTGTTAATATTGAGTGCTTACGTTATTAAACTAGACTAGATTTTTTTTCTCTTTTCTTCTCACTTTCTTTTATGCAAGGGAATCAAACAGAAGTAAACGACGAAAACAATCCTGAACTATCGGTGACTCTTGTAAACATAAGAAGGTCTATAAGGGAACAAAGGAACACAGAACAAGCTACGATGGGAGATCAAAATCAGCTTCTTAAGGATTTCGTAGCCCCAAATGCTCAAGGCACACAGTCAAGCATTACAAGGCCCAATGTTGAAGCTAATAACTTTGAGCTGAAACCATCACTGCTCTCAATGGTTCAGCAGAATCAGTTTGGAGGAGGTGCTACTGAAGACCCGAACCTCCACCTATCGATTTTCTTGGAGTATTGCGACACTTTGAAACTTAATGGAGTGACCAATGATGCTATTCGACTCAGATTATTTTCGTTCTCTCTAAGGGACAAGGCTAGGCTTGGTTGCACTCATTGCCAGCTGGGTCCATCACCACTTGGGATCATTTGTCCAGAGCGTTTCTTGCAAAGTATTTTTCTCCAAGTAAAACAGCACAGATGAGAAACCAGATCACAAGCTTTGTACAGAAGGAAGGAGAGTCACTTTATGAAGCTTGGGAACGCTACAAGGAATTATTGAGGATGTGTCCTCACCGTGGACTGGAGAAGTGGTTAATTGTTCACACCTTCTATAATGGGCTCACTTACAACACACGGATGACTGTTGATGCTGCTGCAGGAGGAGCTTTGATGAACAAAACAATAGACGAGGCATACACTCTCATTGAAGACATGGCTCAGAATCACTATCAATGGGCAAACGAGCGTGCTCCTCAGACATCAAAAGGAGGCAAGTATGAAATAGATGCTTTAGACCATATATCATCTAAAGTTGATGCTTTATTTAAGAAAGTCGAAGGCTTGAGTATTAATTCTGTGGCGTCTACTTCAATTTCGTGTGAGATATGTGGCTATGTGGGTCATTCTGCACTTCAATGTCAATTAGGAAACCCCCCATCCATTGATACTTCTGGTAATGAGCAAGTTAACTATGTTAATAACTTTAATCAGAAGGGAGACCCATTCTCCAATACTTATAATCCGGGGTGGAGGAATCATCCTAATTTTTCTTATAGAAACCCACCTGGAAATCCCATGCCTGCATCTAATTTTGGTCCACCTGGTTTTCGTGCTCCTCAATCCAATTTCCCTTCTCAAAAGTCAAATTTGGAAAATATGATGGAGAAGTTTGTGACGACTCAATCAAAATTGAATGAAGAGTTTAAGCAGCAACAACAAACCACGAATGAGGTGGTAAAACAATTGGCCTCTAAGATGGATTCCCTAGCTACGCATAACAAGATGTTAGAGACACAAGTCACCCAATTGGCACAAAATGTTAGCTCTTCCTCTAGGCCTTCAGGCATGCTACTTGGACAACCCGAGACAAATTCCAGGAGTCATGTGAATGCTATAACTCTTAGAAGTGGAAAACAATATGAGGGACCCAAGATGAAGGAAAATGATGGGGTGGATGGTCATCATGAAGAAAAAAAATGAAAATGTGATAGATGTGGATAATGAGACCCAAACACAAGAAGAAGAAAAAGTTGAAAAATATGTGGCCCCCGCTCCTTACAAGCCTCCTCTACCCTTTCCCCAAAGGTTAGCTAAGGCTAAGTTAGAAAAGCAGTTCAGAAAATTTTTAGAGATTTTAAAAAAGTTACACATCAATATCCCGTTCACTGAAACTATTTCTCAAATGCCTTCTTATGCTAAGTTCTTGAAAGAGATCCTATCTAACAAAAGGAAGTTGGAAGAATATGAGACTGTGGCCCTTACTGAGGAGTGTAGTGCTATCATCCAGAATAACCTGCCTCCTAAGCTTAAGGATCCAGGTTTATTTTCTATTCCTTGTGTTATTGGTAATGTCTCTATTAACAATGCTTTGTGTGATTTAGGTGCAAGCGTAAGTTTGATGTCAATGTCTATTTGTAAGAAGCTTGGCATAGGTGATTTGAAGCCAACCACGATATCACTCCAATTGGCGGATCGATTGGTAAAATATCCGGTAGGTATACTTGAAGATGTACCTATCCAGGTCGGTAAGTTCTTTATCCCGGTTGATTTCGTTATTTTGGAAATAGAAGAAGATTCTAACATTCTAATTATATTAGGAAGACCCTTTCTTGCTACTGCAGGTGCTCTAATCGATGTTAAAATGGAAGGCTCTCTCTAAATATTGGAGGGGAGACGGTAGAATTTGATTTAACCAATACTATGAAACTCTCTCTAACTGATAAAATTTGTTACAGGGTTGACGTCATTGACAAGTGTACCCATGAGCAAGTTGCAAACCATAACTCAGCTGATCCACTTGAGAAGTGTTTGGTATACGACAGTTCAATAAATGATGAAGACCCCGAGGTAGCCGCGTATGCTCAATCTTTAGAATCAACATCAACTGCTCCACTTCGAAATGCAAAGCTTGAAAGATTGATGCTAGAGACAAAAGGTTCTATTCGTGAAGAGGATAATGCACCAAAGGTAGAATTAAAACCCCTCCCTTCCTCTTTAAGGTATGAATTTCTTGGCCCTAATTTTACTTATCTTGTGATTGTGAATGCATGTCTGAATAAAAATGGAACTGATAAGTTGCTTAGAACACTTAGGATGCATCGCAAGGTCATAGGATACACCATGAACGATATTAAGGGAATTAATCCATCAATTTGCATGCATAGAATTCTCTTGGAAGATGATCATAAACCCTCTATAGAACACCAACGTAGATTAAATCCTAACATGAAAGAAGTGGTTAAAAAGGAAGTGCTTAAGCTACTAGATTCTGGGGTAATCTATCCTATTTCTGATAGTGAATGGGTTAGCCCGGTTCATGTGGTTCCTAAAAAGGGAGGTGTGACCGTAGTTAAGAATGCAAATAACAAACTTATCCCTACTAGGATGGTTACGGGTTGGAGGATGTGTATTGATTATAGGAAATTGAACAAGGCAACCCGAAAAGATCATTTTCGGCTTCCCTTTATAGACCAAATGTTGGAAAGGTTGGCTAGGCATTCATATTTTTGTTATTTAGATGGGTATTCGGGATTTTTCCAAATTCCTATCCATCCTAGTGACCAGAAAAAGACCACTTTTACCTGTCCCTATGGGACCTTTGCTTATAAGCGCATGCCTTTTGGTCTTTGTAATACCCCCGCCACTTTTCAACGATGTATGATGGCCATTTTCTCTGATTTTATAGATGATATTATGGGCGTGTTTATGGATGACTTCTCCGTGTATGGAACTACTTTTGATGGTTGTTTATCTAACTTGTCTCGAGTTTTGCAGCGTTGCGAAGAAGTTAATTTAGTCCTAAACTGGGAGAAATGTCATTTTATGGTAAGGGATGGAATAGTTTTAGGGAACAAGGTGTCTGAGCGTGGAATTGAGGTTGATCGATCAAAAGTGGAAGTCATTGAAAAATTGCCTCCACCAACGTCGGTTAGGGGAGTAAGAAGTTTCTTGGGACATGCCGGTTTCTATCGGCGTTTCATCAAAGATTTCTCAAAAATTTCAAAACCCTTAACTAACCTTCTTCTTAAAGATGCTACCTTTGATTTCACTGACGAATGTCTTGATGCTTTTTGCAGGTTGAAAGAAGCATTGATAACAACTCCTATTATGCAACCGCCGGACTGGAATCTCCCATTTGAAGTCATGACTGATGCAAGTGATTATGTGGTTGGTGCTGTGTTGGGCCAAAGGAAGAACAAGATAGTTCATGCAATTTATTATGCTAGTCGCACTCTTGATGAAGCCCAAGTTAACTACGCTACCACTAAAAAGGAGCTATTAGCAGTTGTATTCGCCTTTGACAAGTTCAGGTCTTACTTAGTGGGGTCCAAAGTCATCGTTTATACCGACCACTCCGCCATCAAATATCTTTTGAGCAAGCAAGATGCCAAGCCTAGGTTGATCCGATGGATACTACTTTTGCAAGAATTTGACCTAGAGATCAAGGACAAGAAAGGGACGGAAAATTTGGTGGCAGACCATTTGTCGAGGATGAAGCAAGAATCACATGATAAGGAGGAGGATGAACTACCGATCGATGACTCTTTCCCAGATGATCAGTTGTTAGCCATTGAAAGATTGGATGCACCATGGTATGCGGACTTCGTCAACTACCTAGTGTGTGGAGTCTTGCCTCCAGATCTGAGCTATCAACAGAAAAAGAAGTTCTTTGCTGACTTGAAGTATTATTTTTGGGATGAACCATTTCTATACAAACGGTGTGTTGATGGGATGCTTAGAAGGTGCGTTCCTGAAAATGAGGTTACAAGTATTCTCCATCACTGCCATTCATCTTCTTACGGAGGACATGCAAGTACTTCAAAAATAGCTGCAAAAGTTCTACAATCAGGTTTCTATTGGCCGAGTCTTTTCCGGGATGCAAGACAGTTTGTGATATCTTGTGATAGTTGTCAGAGGACCGGGAATATTTTGAAGCGACATGAGATGCCTTTACACTCCATCTTGAAAATTGAAGTCTTTGATGTGTGGGGAATAGATTTTATGGGACCGTTTCCGTCGTCCTGTAACAACAAGTTCATTTTAGTGGCGGTGGACTACGTCTCCAAGTAGGTAGAAGCGATAGCATCCCCCACCAACGATGCTAAAGTTGTTGTGAAACTATTCAAAAATGTTATTTTTCCAAGATTTGGGGTGCCACGAACGGTGACTAGTGATGGAGGTTCACACTTCATTGAAAGAAAATTCGAAGGTCTTTTAAAACAATATGGGGTCACTCATAATGTTGCCACGCCATATCATCCTCAAACTAGTGGTCAAGTGGAAGTTTCGAATCGTGAAATTAAGAGTATTTTGGAGAAAACAGTTAATTGTTCAAGAAAGGATTGGTCTATGAAACTCACAGATGCTTTATGGGCCTATCGAACTGCATACAAAACGCCCATAGGTATGACACCATTCAAATTGGTATATGGCAAATCGTGTCATCTCCCAGTTGAGTTAGAGCACAAGGCGTATTGGGCTATCAAACTCCTCAATTTTGATATGAAGACCGCAGGTGAGAAAAGAAAGCTTCAACTTCATGAGCTAGATGAGTTGCGTTTGGATTCGTATGAGAATGCTCGTATTTATAAAGAAAGGACTAAACGATGGCACGACAAGAATATTCTTCGAAGAGAGTTTAATCAAGGAGATATGGTGCTACTTTTCAACTCTCGTTTGAAGCTTTTTCCGGGCAAGCTCAAATCTCGTTGGTCCGGACCTTTTCAAATCCGTGAGGTTTTTTCTAGTGGAGTTGTTGAAGTTTGGAGTGAAACAACGGGATCTTTCAAGGTGAATGGGCAACGATTGAAGTACTACATTGTAGGGGAACAGCACGAGAAAGGGGTCACGTATACCCTTTCAGATCCCCCTTTGTCGGAGAATTAAAAGAAAAAGGGGTCGAGCTCATGACCATAAACGAGCGCTTCTTGGGAGGCAACCCAAGTTTTCATCCATTTTATTTATCTTATTTTATTTTATTTCATTTTATTTTTATTTTTTTAGGCAATTGGATCGGCACAAATTTAACTTATAACATTTTCAATCATGCAGGTGAGAAGAAGGGAGAACATGGCATATCAAAAAAAAAAAAACCTGCAGAAAAAAAGGAGTTAAAATGGGCAGTGACAGTGATCCCTTACCACTACCCAGGGGGGGTGTTAGCGCCACACCATGGCTCGCTGCAGGGAAAGCTGGACAACTAATTCCAGAGCTGCACAACCCGTCCGCCACACACCCACGGTCCGCCACACACCCCTGGTTCACGAATTTTTTTTTTCCAGACTCTAACACCCGCACCACACCTGTGCGTTCGCTGCGGGTAAAAAGAAAAAAAAACAGAAAATCCCTCAAAAACCGCCACCCTCTTCTTCGAACCTACCAAGCCCAATTCAGCCGCCGCCCATACCTTCATCCCTCGACCACATGTCACACCAACCCAATCCTCCTTCTCAACACCGCATCTCCGACCGGATCGCCGATCACCGACCGCATCCCATCCTCAGCAATCACCTCCGACCGCCATCTCCCTCACACCAACACCCGATTCCCCTCTCCGATCAGCGAACCGCCGCTCCCCTTTCATCTCCCCGACTCCGAGCTTCGTCATCACCACCGCGCATCAACCATCGCCGACCATCTCCGTCGCCCCTCTTCGATTCTCGACCAGAGCATCGATCTACACCGCCTTCACCTCTTCAAATCAGCCAGCGCTGTCATCTCCGACGCCGCTCACCACGATGACCCCCGCCCCCATCCTTCATCACCGCAACCAGGCCTCTCTCCCCTTCATCACTGCAGAAACCACCCCCACTCTCAGACCAACCATTCATCCCCTCATAACCAGCGGCCGACCAAAATCCCCCACTACTGTTTCGAGTTCGCCACTGCAACACCAACTCCATTTCACGCCAGCCAGCAACTGCCTTCAAAATCTGCTATCAATTGCATTTTGAGAGACTAAATGGGACCTAAGCGCGGAC